CACACACACACACACACACACACACACACACACACACACACACACCCACTAATTCATATACTCAGTGTGAGATCATACACTAGGTCCTGAACAAGGAAACAGAGACTTAAGGAAAACCTCTCCACATTTGTATCAGATGTGTACGTCAGTTCATTGTGTTACTATTGGATGATCCAGGGCGTTAATGTTTGAATAGCTGGGTGGAGGGCATGCAATCTGCCTCATCTAATTTTTACAACTTTTGCATGCCTGAATTTATTCCAAAACGGAAATTTAACTTTAATTAATGTATTTAACGGTTATTATATCTGTGTATCATGTATCATCGATACATATGGGTGCGCGTGTGCATGATACACATGCGGAGGCCAGAGGAGGGCTTTGGGGGGTTAGTTTTCTTCTTCTAGCTTTACATGGGTGCCAGGGGTAGCACTTAAGCCACTTGTCTAGTAGGCAGCAGTGTCCTGAAGCTGCTGTCACTGGAGTGCTGGCCAGGAGGCAGCAAAGGCTTTGACAGTGCTTTGAACATCTGAGCACACAGCCATGTCCGGCCGTGTGCTTTTATTCTAGGGGGAGATAGTCTCCCAGGTGGGGTGTGAGCGGGGACCCTCTACTCAGCATTCTCTGCCTGTCTACCAATGCATCTGCCACTGCAGGGACAGCAGCCCCCGGGGCGCTCAGAGTCTACATGGAGTGTGTATAATACCAGCTTGTTCTGCTCTGGCGATGGTGCTGGAATCCAGAGCTGGGTCCCACTTAGGGTATCCAGTTCTCCTCAGGACCTGGCTCTGAAGCTGAGGGGATTCAGGCTGGCCAGGCAACAGGGGCCGGACATTAAGACTGGGGACAGGCATTACGACTCTGCACCGCAGACAGCAACTCTATGTGAACTGGTTGATGTGGCCAGAGAAGAGTGAAAGGGGAAGGGGACAGACAGAGGGACTCACTTCCCAAGCATGGAGGGTTGTGGGGAGGCTTCAGGCAGAGAAGCGGCTAAGGCCCAGAGCCTCACCGGAAACACACATACACCCCTGTAGGGACTTCCTCGACTGAGGGGAGAAAGCCCCCTAACATGGGCTGGGACCCCCCCGAGGGAGAGAGAGAGAGAAGGAGAGAGAGAAGCAACTGAGCACCAGAATCTATCTTTCTCAGCTTCCTGAATGTAGATGCCATGTGACTTTTGTCATGTTTTGTATCCTTAAAACATGAGCCAAAACAGACTTTCCCTCCTTATGTTGCCTTGGTCAGGTATTTCATAATTGCCACGAGGGATGCAACTGGGTCTCTCCTCTGGTGAGAGAATGTGTGGTGTGGGAGGGGCAAGAACTGAGAAAGCAACAAATACCAAGAGAATAAGCGTCAGCTAGGCTGGAGGTCCTGGGCGGAAAGGACCAGTCACAAGATGCCGCCTTTCTCCTTGGGAACCTCTCGGTGGGAAGCAGGAAGAAACCCTAAGGCACCACTCTGAGCTTGCCTCAGCACACCTGAGGTAATAAAAGTATGGGGGACTCTAAACCTCTACAATGGGGCAGCCTGAACCTAAGGTTACATTACTGACTTGGGTTTGGGACACTAGATGGTCATGAGTTTCTTATCAGGTAAAGACCAACAAGGACTCATAGAGCCATAGGCCGTGGTGATGACACGTGATCCAAGCTTGCTACTCGGAAGAAGCTGGAGCAAGGCTTGTAACGCATTTATCGCCTGCTCATGGGTTCACGGTCACCGCACTTTTGTGACCTGAAAGGACAGAGGCAGGTGGCTGCACACCAGGAGCAGCATGGGAGCCAACACTTACCCGTGTACGCTGTGGACAGAGTGAGGATCGTAATGGTACCTTCCCTCCTGGTGGCGCATGTCAATTGGCAAAGGCGCGTGGAAAGGCGGCAGGAGCTGCTGAGGAACTGTGGGGAGGGAGAGAGAGAAAGAGAGAGAGAGAGAGGACTTCAAAAACGTTCCCCCTCCCTGGAAAAACAATTTTCAAAAGGCTTTAAGCTCCATGAACTCCTGAGCAAGAGTGGCCAGGACAGGGGACTCCATGATGTCTGTGCTATCACACACCCACGAAGGAGGATGAATAAATAATCAAAGCCAGCCTGAGAATCCTACATCTTCCACATAAAAGATCCCCAGCCGTGCTCTTGACAAAGACAAGCAGCTCAGTGCTCTTTGAACTTGGGGAACCCAGCTTGGCCGCAAATCAGGGCTGACAGCGCTGACAGGCTCCGACTCCCGCCAGCTTCTGCCCACCCCGGCTTGGCTGCGTGTGGCTTCAATAGCATCAGGTACCGGCCTCAGATCCACCGTGCACACAGGCTGCACATAATTTACCTAGAACCATCTGTGAAGCAGAGCCAGGCCCAGCTTGGGGGCATTTGCTTAGATAGCTAACTCTCCACTCTGTGTGTGTGTGTGTGTGCTGTGTGTGTGCACACATGTGCACATATATTCACATGCATGTAGAGACCAGAGACAGCCTCAGGTGTTATTGGTCTTCAGGGACCATCCACACTGTTTGATGAGACAAGGTCTCTCCTTGGGACGTAGGGTTCAATGATTCAGCTAGGCTGGTTGTCTCCTGTGCCCCAGTGATGCCCCTGTGTCTGCCTCCCCTGTGCTGGGACAGCAAGCACATGTCGCCATACAAGCCTTCTGACATTTGTGATGGGGACTGGGTCCTCATGCTTGTGCAACAAGATCTTCACTACCTCCGCAGCCCCAACAATGGTAAATGTAACTCTTTTGCCACAATACCATGGTGGAGAATTTCCTAATGTTTACCCTAGTAACAGACTCTGTTTACAGAGAATAGCCTTACTTCAGAGCATCTGTCAAGGCACACCTAGCTGTCAGCAGCCCTGATGATGTCAACGACGCAGCAGACAGACTCAGCCCCGCTTCCCTGGGCCAGTGGCCTTCTGACTGAGGGAATAGTCCACCAAGAGTGAGGACCGCTCCAGTCCCTAGCCTTTTCCCAGCCTGCTTGTTAAAAGGCCCTGTTTTCCTAAAGCCTATAATTATGTTTGCCTCTGGGGCACCCAGGCATTTTCTTTCAATAAGCAAAGAGCATCCTGCAATTATCACGATGATTTGTTGAGTGCAGGCCAAGTGCAGACAGGGGCTGACTCAGCTCCGAACTGACACACACGTGTTGGTGTTTCCAGTTCTGGAGGCGCCGCCAGCATGCACGGGTTGATGATGAGTGTTAAGAGCGGAGAGTTGGGGGCTGCAGAGGTAGCTCAGTGGGTCCAAGTTCAAAGCCCAGAACCCATATGAAAGCCAGGCGAGGTGGTACACACTCATAAACCCAGCACCAAGAAGGAGGAGACAGGAGGCTCCCTGTGGCTCTCTGACCAGACAGCGCAGCCCAATTGAGGGGTCCCAGGACTTAGTGAGAGATCATGTCTCAAAAAGCAAGGTGGATGGCATGGGAAGAATGAACAGAAGCTAACGTCCGGCCTCCGTGCGCATGTGTCTATGCAAACATGCATCCACTCAGCACATGTACCTCATGCTCACACACATTTACGATTTTCACCATTTTAAGTAGGTTGTTGAGCGGCGTCAAACTCACACTGCAAGGCTGTCACCACCTCCACCTCCAGAACAGTCCACTCGTCCCTGTCCCTGACAACCGTCATCCCGTACTCTGTCCTTGCGACCTTGATAACTGTTATCTAGAACACTTCTCCTTTTGTGTCGGGCTCACTTCACTTAGAGTACACTCTTGGGGTTCATCAAATTGTGGCACGGGCTGTAATTTCTCTCCTTTTAAGGCGAATGCTATTCCACTGTATCGGTATACTCACATTTTGTTTGTTTAAACGGTTGTAGACATTTGGACTTAATGCTATCAGTTTTGGGGGAAGTAGGAGGCAGAGTCTTACACTGTAGCCTAAGCAGGCCTCGAACGTGTGACGATCCTTTTGTATTATTTTTCTGAGTATTGAGACTATAACATGAGCCACCCAACTGGGTTTCATGTTAAGAATTCTCAATGAGAAAAAAAAAACCCTTTTCTCCTAAATTAAAAAAATAATTATTTATTTTATTTATTTTGTGTGTGTATCTGTGTGAATGCATGATGTACATGTATGGGTACTATAGAGGCCAGAAGTAGGCATCAGATCCCCCAGAGCTCAAGCTACATGTAGGTAGTTGTGAACCACCTGATAGGGGTACTGAGAGCTGATCTCAGGTCCTCTGCAAAAGCAGGAAGTGGACCTAACCACTGAGCCATATCTCCAGGCCTCTCCTGAAATGTTAACTTCAGTTTGGTCTTCACTATCTCACATTTGTGGTGCTCCACTAGGCAAACAGAAAGCCCATCTATCTAGCAAACCCGGCTCAATGCGGAGCCTGCAGTGGACAACTGGCGCTTGGCTCAGCCTGGCTCTTGGCTCTGAAGCTGCGGTGAAGCAGATGGCTGAGCTTGTCTGAGTTTCCCGCTTCTGAACCGGTGAGCAGGGGCATATGTCTGTGACTCTAAACTGTCACAGAATGGCCACGAACGTTGGGGGCTGGTGAGCCTTGGGAATCAGAGATTCTGGCCATTTCTAGGAGTTGCACTAAGTTTCCAAGCTCAGTCTCCATCGGCCTGTGTGAAGGTCAGAACAAGGACTATATGTGGATGTTAAAAAGACACAAAAGGGAAAATGCATGCTGGTGTAAAGATGGCTCCATCAGGAAAGAGTGAAGTGCTTACAGGATAAGCAAACATCAAGACTCAGTTCCATCTCCCAGAACCTTTTTTTTTTTCTTTAAAGTTGGAGTTGGGAGAGAGTTGTTAAGAGCACTAGCTTCTTCTGCAGAAAACCTGAGTCTGGTTCCCAGCACCCACATAGCTGTATATGACCAGAAGGTGATCTAACCTCCTCTTCTGGCCTCTGCAGGCACCAGGCATGCACATAGCACACAGATATACACACAGACAATGTAAAACACTTACACACATAAAGAAAGAGCTGGGCATGATGGTGCACACCTGTATTCCCAGAGCTAGTGAGGCAGAGACAGGTAGATCCGTGGGGCTACTAGTCAGCCACTGAGCCTACAAGGCAAGTTCAAGGTTAGTAAGATACCATGTGTCCAATGAAAGGGACAGCAACTGAGAACAACAGCCAAGATTGTCCTCTGGCTTCCACATACGTGTGCCCACAGTGTGTGCTGAGGACATTCTCAGGCGGAGTCTGCACACTTAGGCGTGTGACCGCTGCTAGTAACTGAAAGTACATACTGATAGCTGAAGCCTTCAAAGTCCATAGTCAAATGAGGAATTTACTGGCTGTGGTGAGGGAAGGGACTGCTTGTTCCTTTATGGCAACCCCTCGGGGAGGCTGGGAGCTGGCAGTAGCCTGCCTACAGAGCAGGAGTGAGCCCACATCCCAAGGGCCAGCACACACAGGATCCTGCTTCCTAAACGTACAGGCATCTGTCTTCTTTTTGTCTCAGTGCTCAGGGCCTCACACACATGCTTGACAAACATTCTAGTATTCAGCTAAAAATAAGGCTGGGATGGAGGGGATGGCTATGAGCAGGACAGAGAGAGCTTCCATGGTTAGACACTGGCTCATGTCTATAGCCTTCTCTATCACCATGCCTGGTTAACTGGCCCAGTGGCCCTTTCACCAGCCTTCAGGCCAGTCGCTGAAACCCTGCTATAATAGGACAGCATGCACTCATTCATTCATGCACACTCGCACTTCCACGCAGAGACTCACACCCATACCCACCACACAGACCAATTTTTCATACAGGTAAGTGAAGGGATGACGGTTGGTACCAGTTCCCTGAAGTCAGACATTTCACTTCAGGGTGGGCCATCCCAGAAACAAGTACCTGCTCAAAGCTCTCTGGGAGGCAGTTTTAGCTTCCAGCTCTTGAGAGAAGCAGCCCCTTTATAGAGGCCCCAGCAGTAGCCAAATAATACAAAGAGAAACAAAGGAGACGAGAGCTACCTCGGGTTGGGGAGACAGCTCAGTGGGAAAATGCAGTTGCTGTGCAAGCATGAGGACCTGAGTCCCAGTTCCTGGAACCTATGTAAGAAGCTGGGCCTGGCCACCTGTAAACCAGTACTGTAGGGGACATGCACAGGAAAGCCCCTGGGGGCTCGCTAGCTGCCAGCCTAGCTCCAGGTTCTGCGGAAAACCCTGTCCAAAGGAATAAGGTGGCAAGTGATGGAGAAGACACTGATGTCCTGCTCTGGGTTTTGCAAATGCATGTGGGCCTGCACACACGCACACATGCACCAGGCATAAAGCATACATGCATACATACATACACACACCTCTTCACCCATATATACTTCTCACACACACTTAGACTCATGTTCAAAAAAACAAAGCCACCTTTAGCTGGCATATTGAATTTTATCATTCCACACAATGTTTTCATTGTGGGATTTCTTTTAAGGAAGAAAGATCTAAATTAAATCATGTCCTTCTAGCAGAAAGAACACACACACACACACACACACACACACACACACACACACCATATGCCATTTCAAAGAAATGTCTCTCTTTCAAGTTTCTGAGGAATAAGCTCAAAGTGGAGAATGTTCAGTGGCCACGCCCTGTCCTCTGGAAAAATGTGTATTTTGCATTTGTTTTTGATTTTGCACAGAATGACCCTGAGGAGGTAGAGAGGAGGCAACTGTCATCAAAAGTCTAGAGTTTTTGTATGCTAACTCAAACACAAAAGTCTCGTTGGCTGGTAGGGTCTGGTGAGGAGACATTTGTGTGACAGGATCCTGAGGTAATAATCTCACTGATGTCAGGGAGATGTTGGAAACAGAGAGAGTCCTTCCCTGGAAGCTGAGCTCAAGTTAAGACTCCATAACAACCACAGTGGTAAGTGAAGAAAGCTCCTTACACAAAGAACTCAGAACACCTGGGTCATGAAA